GTAAAAAAAATGTACTCAGAGTTTGAAAATCCACAGTTACAAAATCTGCTTAAACTACTTGGTTAATTTTATTAAATGTAAAAAAATCTACTTAAGGTTAGGAAACTTCTTGATGTTCTTTAAAAAAGAAAGTAGGTGACAAATTTTTAGTTTGAGCTGTTTTTGAGTCAGTTAAACTCATTTTATTTCAATCTTAGCTGTTTTAAATTTAGTTTAAGCCACCTTTTATTTCAGTTTTAGCCTTTTTGATCGGTTTAAGCCATTTCTATTTCAATTTGAATTGTCTTTTTTTTAATCAGAATTTAAGCTGTTTCTGTTTCAGTTTAAGCTCTTCTATTCCAGTTCAGCTGTTTCATCATACTTTTAGCTGTTTTCAGTCCAGTTTAGGCTGTTTTGTATTTGGCGGCACGACGACTCAGTGGTTAACACCGACACCTCACAGCAAGAAGGTCCTGGGTTCGATCCCCGGTTTGGACCTTGGGGTCTTTCTGTGTGGAGTTTGCATGTTCTCCTCATGCTTGCGTTTATTTTCTCCAGGTACTCCGGTTTCCTCCACCACTAAAAACATGTACAGTAGGTCGCCTTCAGGCCCAGACCGCCCTTAAACAAGAGATCTGAGATCTCAGCGGGACTTGCCTGGTTAAATAACATTAAATAAATAAATAAATCCATGTTTTATATTTAGTTGTTTTCATCCCAGCTTAAGCTGTTTTTCAAGTTTTAGATATTTTATTCCAGTTTTAGCTGTTTTTATTTCAGTTTTAGCTGTTTTTTTCCCACTGTTTTAGCTGTTCTATCCCAGGTGTAATTCTTATATTTATGTTTAGTTGTTTCATCCCAGTTTTATAGTTTTTCCCCCCAGTTTAACCTGTTTTGTTAGTTTTAGCTGTTTTCATCCCAATTTAAGCCGTTTGTAATTCATTTTTGTGCTGTTATCCCAGTTTTAATTGTTGTCACTCAGGTTTAAGCTGTCTTCATTTCAGTTTAAGCTGTTTAATCCCATTTTAACTATTTTATCTTTGTTTTTGCTGTTTTATCACAGTTTTAGCTCATTTTTCCTAAGTTTTTGCTGTTTTCTTTCCAGTTTTAGCTGTTTTTATTTCAGTATTATCTTTTTTACCCCAGTTTTAGGTATTTTTTCCTCGATTTTAGCTGTTTTTTTAATTCCAATTCAATGTGTTATTTTTTTTATTGCAGCACTCAGCTTTAAAACCATGAAACCTTTTTGTTAGTCAGTCAGTTGTGATGAAAATAAAAAAGTGACGTCATGGAAGAAAAACAAATCAATCAGGTATGCTTTGTTTAAACGTATGAAACGTGCAGCTGGTGTTTGTGGAAATCATTTTCAGAGTTTAGCTGTGAAGTGAAATGTTTCTCTGAAAGCTGTGGTTGTGTTTGTGCTCCCAGGTGAGCTCTACCTGTCCCTGAGGTGGGTGGATTCACCTGTGCCTGCATGACAGTCGCCTGCTCTCTGAGTGTCTTAGCCTGCAGCTTCCACTCAGCGGCCTGAACCAGTAACTGGTTAGAAGAGAACAGAGATGCATTACAGATGGGTCTTTACCTTCTTCTTCATGGCCAGCTCCTGCTCCTTCATAGCGAAGCATTTCTTTGTTTTGTCAATAGCCTCCCTGAGCAGCTAACAGAGACAACACACAGTCAGGGTGCCTCAGTCAGACGCTGAGTCATGCTAAGTGTCACACAAACAACACGCCTCAAGTTCAGCTTTGAAGAACAAACAAGAAAACAGTCAAAACATCTGCACCAGGTTAAAACCACTTTAACTCCAGGTTAACTTCCTCACTTTTCACAGAACTCACTTCATGGAACCCCTCAACCTGAAGCTGGTCCAGGACTCATTCAAAAAGGTTTAAATACAAAACTGAACTCTATGACGAAGACTTGGAGTTCTTTAGTTTTTACTTGGAGTTATTTTGTTTTTATTTGGAGTTATTTAATGTTTACTTGGAGTTCTGTAGTTTTTACTTGGGGTTATTTAGTGTTTACTTGGAGTTTTTTAGTTGTCACTTAGAATTAGTTAGTGTTTAATTGGAGTTATTTATTTTTACTTGGAGTTTTTTATTTTTTACTTGGAATTCTTTAATTTTTACCCTGAGTTCTTTAGTATCCACTTGGAGTTCTTTAGTATCTACTTGGAGTTCTTTAGT